TCAAAAGGGGAAAAGTTGAGATTAGTGACATGAGAATTCGGGCCTGGGCAAAAGGTGTCTCTTTACAGTATAGAGAAATGACAGGGACCATCCTGTTCAATAGTCACTTAACATTTTGAGGTTTTATTAGAATTTGGTAAATATAGAAAATAATTCTAATTTACTCAAAGGGTTATTTGTGAGATGACTTTTGGGTAAGTTGAATTTAAAAAGTGACAGATATATCTAGTCAATTAGATTTTCCTTTGGTTGACGTAGTTTTCTGCTGTGAGTGAACGGAAAGTCGAATCTGCGCTAGTGTGATAATCATTATTTTCAGCTCGTAAGGCGATAACCGGGAAACGTCTTCATTTTAAATTTGCACAATAATATTTTCATGAAAGAAAATACAATAATATAAATAAATAAATTGGATAAACAAACATTTGACTAAAACTGAGAAATTACTACAGCCAATGTTGATCGGCGCGAGGAAATTTGTTTTTTTATAATTTTATAAATAAATTTTGTTTATAAAGTTTCTCTAAACTTTTTGCCACGTCACAACATATTATTATTATTGAAAATGGGTTACGGTGACGTTAGAATAGCGATTTTTTTATTAACAATCTATTTATATCTCTATAAATCTGATTCCTTTTATTAAAAATGTTTGTTCCTCAGCTGAAAAAGTTCTATAGAGTTTTAGTAGAATTATTCTATACGAATTCTAGTGAATATTCTATAGAATTTTTCTAGAATGATCCTATTAAATTTCTACACGAATTCTAGTAAATTTTAGCAAATTCTATAGAATATTTACTAGAATTTATAGAGAATGACTGTAGTGAAATTCTATAGAACTGTTTCAGCTGCGCTAAAGCGTAATTAAATAATTTTTGAGGTTTCAAATTTTCGATGTTAAAAATATAGGAAACATCGATGTTAAATTTTTTCGATGTCGAGCAACATCGATGATTTGTTGTCGATGTTCCATCTCTACTTTTCATAAAATTCCCCTTACTTTGTTTTGATTTCCGTGACCTTCGGCAACACTAATTTATTTGTTACATTTAGAATCCATTTTTTGGGAATGTAATATAAAATTAAAAGTTTAATGTTAGCAACAAACATATTCCAACGAATAAATATTTGTTGGCCCTGAAAAGGGCCGATTGTTTGTTCTTGAAGGTGTAAAAAATTAAGCACGTTCTCCTCGGATGCGACGGGCCAACTGGATGTCCTTTGGCATGATGGTGACTCTCTTGGCGTGGATGGCGCACAAGTTGGTGTCTTCGAAGAGACCGACGAGGTAGGCCTCGCTGGCCTCCTGGAGGGCCATCACGGCGGAGCTCTGGAAGCGCAGGTCGGTCTTGAAGTCCTGAGCGATTTCACGGACCAAGCGTTGGAAGGGCAGTTTGCGGATGAGGAGCTCGGTGCTCTTCTGGTAGCGACGGATCTCACGGAGAGCGACGGTTCCGGGCCTGTAGCGATGGGGCTTCTTCACTCCACCGGTTGCAGGCGCGCTCTTCCTCGCGGCCTTGGTGGCGAGTTGTTTCCTTGGTGCTTTACCACCGGTGGATTTTCGCGCGGTTTGCTTGGTACGAGCCATTGCTTAGAAGTTCAGAGTACGAGGGACGACTGGAAAATAATGCTTCCGGCGGCAAAAACACACATATTTATACCCTTCAAAAGCTCTTGCACCGGTTAGTCAAGAGGAAGGGGACACTGACATCCTGATTGGTAGATCGAATCGTGGAGGGGAGCAGTGGAACTCCAGAGGGAATAAAACAGCGTACTTTCACCCGCTTAGCATCATTCCAAGTTTGTTCTCTGTTCTGTTTTGAACGTAAACCTTATTCTCTGCAAAAATGACTGGTCGCGGTAAGGGAGGAAAGGGATTGGGAAAAGGAGGAGCCAAGCGCCATCGTAAAGTGTTGCGTGATAACATCCAAGGTATCACCAAGCCCGCCATCCGTCGTCTGGCTCGTCGAGGTGGAGTGAAACGTATCTCAGGATTGATTTACGAAGAGACCCGTGGTGTCTTGAAAGTGTTCCTTGAGAACGTGATCCGTGACGCCGTCACTTACACCGAGCACGCCAAGAGGAAGACCGTCACCGCCATGGACGTCGTCTATGCTCTCAAACGTCAAGGCCGTACTCTCTATGGTTTCGGCGGTTAAATTCACTCACCATCTTCCAAAAACCAATCGGCCCTTTTCAGGGCCACCAAATATTTTTTACGTTTGAATAATTTTTCATCAATAACATAGTTTTATGATAAAAGAATTACAGTGCAATCCATCAGTAAGTAATATAATGAGTCACGTATACCTACATTCTAGGCATTATTTAATGCGTAATGCTCTTGTTTTCGAAATTCACGAATATTGTTTGTGCTAAGTGCAGTTGAGAATTTGTATAAATAATTGATTCTATGAAGTATGAAAATCGACATCACTATAACGTGTGAAAAACGAGAAAGACGTTATTTATAAGAAGCAGTATCTAGACAGTTTGCTCATGTATTAATGTGAAACTTTTACAACACTTGAGTTCACAGGCAACGGCCACACCACGATGAAAAAACCAGTTCTCGTCCGATCACTGAAGTTAAGCATCTTTGGGCGCGGTTAGTACTTGGATGGGTGACCGCTTGGGAATACCGCGTGCTGTTGGCTTTTTTTTTAAATAAAATAATTGTAATAAATAATTTCATCTCTGAAGCTTTTTTAACATGTCTCCAATAGGGCTTCTGTAAGAAAACAAAATTTTTGTGTTTTTTTCAAACTCTTGGAAATTTTTCAATCGGCCCTTTTCAGGGCCACCAAATGTTTTTACGTTAAAATTGTTTTTTTTTAATTATAATATATTTATATTGCTATACGATATTGTACTATTATTGTTTTTTATCTCAGTAATATTTTACCTTAGTTTTTGTAAGTTTTATCGCTTTTATTATCAAGTTCTTCTTATGAAGTCTTTATAGTTTTCTTATATATTATTTAGATAACTTCAAAGCACTGTTATATTTGTTATTTGAGAATAAACATGAAATGTAAAGGTATAGATAAATTAGAAGATTCTTAAATTACTTAGATAATTTCAATTTCTTTGATTAATGTTATTTGAATTCTGACTTCATCATTAGGGTGTAATAAATGTTAGTAGTTAGAAATCAAACTTAAAAGGTTGATGACTTTCCATAATTGAAGGACTAATTCAACCTAAAGTTAGGTTTTTAGAGGATACACTGAGAGAAATGGACCCAAGTTAATACAACCAGAAAAAAGTGGTTAATGAAATGCAGTTACTGGACCAACTTAAAATTGTCTTTGTAACATGTTTTCTGGTTACAGTAACCAGAAATTTAGTTATGTTAACTAAAATTGCCAAAAAAAACAATCCTAGTTGTGACAACCATGATCTGTGGTGAAATTTGTCTTCAACTACGAATACATGTTATAGCACAACTTTAGTGAAAAGTTGTAGGAAAATGAAACCTGGTTGTAGTAACCAGTCAATTTGTTAGATTTCAGTAGTCGGGAGCAAGCGCAGTACGTCTTTATACTTTCTGCTATAGTTTGACTTTTAACACAACGTAGAATGCACTCATCAAGTTTTTATTTTAAAGTATTTTATGGTTTTCCATCTTTCTTCTTATTAACAAAAGTGTGTAAAGTAAAAGTGAATATGATGCTGCTGATGTAAATCTTTTTACTTATTTCAGTGACAGTATTGTTGACAATTAATTAGATAAATGCAATTAATGATTTCATATAACCTATATGTTTTTAACGATTTTTAAAATTATTTTTATGAAAACAAAGGATGGACTACATTATTTATAAGAATTGTGAAAATAAATTCTAAAATAAGAAGATGAAAAAATATATAATTTTAACCTCTTAATCATAGATAACATATTGTTTCCTGTTATAGCTTTACATTCCCATCCACAATTTCAGTGTCAACCATGATCCTGGTTACTATAACCAGGAATTAAATTTATATTAACCATGTTTTATCGTCAAGACAACTATGTTCAGTCATGTTCGAACAACTTGAATCGTAGTCAAAGACTTTTTTCACCACGAAAATTTGGTTGTATGAACCAGGAATTTCTCTCAGTGTATAAGAAAGAAATGAAAATTGTATAAAAAATTGAAATTTGAATTCTTTTCACAATTTAGGATTCAAGTAAGGAATTTATTAAATATTTAATTTCGGAAATTTTATCATAATGTAATTTTACATCGTCAATAATGTTAGAAACTATATAAACAGCGTAAATTCATGAATGGAGTGAAATATTACTGGTCCGTCGCCATAATTATATTAAATATAAATTTTATTCTTTTACAATCTATTATCGAATATTCAAATAATGAATATTATTTGAATATATTCAAAGTAAATTTCTATGATACAATAAAATATTCTAAACTTATATTAAATTACATATAAATGATGTTGAAAAATTATTAAAATTTTTTTATTATTGATCTACACAATGCACACTATGCGTCTCCATTCTGTGTCGAAAGTAAGAACTCATACCCAAACTGAAGCAACCGAATTTCCTTCAATTTAGATTTCAAACTAAAATAAGTTTTCTATCCAGAAAGGGAGATAAATAGAGCATTAAATTTAAAAGGTAATTTTTTAACAATCCAATTTGTTTACTTGTTTTTTATAATTTTCAGAACTTGTTAAGTTTGAGTACTAAAAGCAGAGTCTTGAAAATTGCTCATTTTTACCGAAAAACACAATGACAGTATAATGCTTTTTCCTAATATTAGACAACTAGAATAATCGTATAATAGAAATCAAATCTATTTGCAAGTGCAGAAAAACAATTAAAGATCAAAAAGGTGAATAAAGTTTTGAATGGTGTACCCAAGTTACCGAGAATTAAAACGGTAGAAAGCCAACGAGCGCTGAGGTCTTTCTTCACCGTCCGTGCGTTTTACTATGTCGACGAGCGCAGGGAAATGTGTTTATTACTGTTTGAACGCTTGAGTTGAAAGCATCTTCAAGTTATTGAACACTTTTTGTCGTTTTCCCAAAAAAAACTTTACTAAAATGGCAGACAAAGTAGAATCCCCAGCTGTACCTGCAGTGGCAACTCCGAAGAAAGCTGCCAAGGTACAGAAGCCCCGCGCCAAGGCCAGTCACCCGCCAGCGTCGGAGATGGTGAACGCGGCCATCGCCACTTTGAAGGAGAGAGGCGGCTCTTCGCTCCAAGCCATCAAGAAGTACATCGCCGCCACCTACAAAGTCGACGTCGAGAAGCAGGCTCCCTTCATCAGAAAGTACCTGAAGGCTGCAGTCGCCAGCAAGGCTCTGATCCAGACCAAGGGCAAGGGCGCTGCAGGGTCCTTCAAGTTGAACGTCGCCAAGGCCGAGGGCAAGGCCAAAGCCAAGCCCAAGACCAAGACTGCCGCCAAACCCAAAGCTGCTGCAGCACCAAAGGCCAAGAAAGCAGCTTCTCCGAAGAAGGCCGTGGCAGCCAAGACCAAGAAAGCCGTCGCCGAGAAGAAGAAAACCCCGAAGGTTGCGGCCAAGCCACCGAAGGCCAAGTCCACCACCGCCAAACCCAAGGTGACCAAAGCTGCTCCCACGAAGGCCAAAGCTTCGCCCAAGAAGGCTGCAGCGCCCAAGGCGAAGAAGCCCGCGGCAAAGAGGGTTGCCAAGAAGTAAAGTGGAAAGAAATTGATAACGGATGATTGTGAACAAACGGCCCTTTTCAGGGCCACCAATTGCTTTTTACAAAAGAATTTTCTTTGTCTCAAACATAAGTATTTTAGAATGATATATTAGAATTAGCCAATATGGAAATAATTTGTGTTTGAAGTTTTTAATTTTTCCAATCTAAAATTCCGTCTATATTTTTTACTATACTCTATTGCACTGTAAATTTTGTCATTTGTACAATTCTTATTTTAACAATTACATACCTTCAATACTCAGGGTGGCCACTTTTTTGTAAAAAAAAATTCACGGTCATTTCCCGGTCATAAATTATTTTTCCCTGTCATAAATAATAACTCTGAAAATTAATTATTCCATGAAAGATTGAAAGAATTTCCCGAATTTCCTGATTTTTAGACAAAACTTTGACTTTTTCCCAAACCCTAAAAATATTTTAGTTTACTCTAAAAATAATTTTGAACTTAAATAAATTTTTTGAAATAAATATTTAATTATTATCCATTATTTTTCCATATAGTAGGTATTCAAATTTCAAAAAAAAACTTCAAATTTCAAATTCTTTAAATTTGATTAATTTATAAGAATTGCTACTGTAACTTATTAAAAATTATTTTCAAAATTTCAATTCAATTATATTCTAGAAATAACTAAAATATTTCCAAAATCCACTTGTTTACAAGAAAATATCATGAAATTTTGAATAATTTGAAAATTTTTCAATTAAATATTACATATTTAAAAACATAACTAATTTGTAAAAATGTGAATAAAAATATTTTTAAAAACTAACTTATTCAGAATTTTTAATTAAAATCAATTCAACTTTTCTAAAACTTCAATTTGAAATTTTTTAAAATTCAATCTATAATAATACTAGTAATATTAATTTAACATTCTAAAATATTGAAAAATTTGCTTATGAATAATTGTAAAAAAACTAATTGATATTAATGAAAAATAAGATTTTTTAAAATTTATTTTCTAAAAAAAGAAATTTTATTTATTTTTATTTACTTTATTTATCATTCAAAAATTAATTTTTATAAATTTCGTATCACTTTTGTTCTAATTAGTTCAAATTTTTAATAATTCTTATTTGTTTTGTTATAATATTATATTGCAAAAAAATTTTTTAATTGATTTATTTCTCACTATTTTATAGGATGTGAAATTTTTTCTCTTTGAAATTTTTTTGACAAATTTAATTAAAATTATATTTTGTTTAATTATTGTTGGAAATAGAAAGAATTTAAAATTAAATTTAATATTTTCTTTTTCTAAGTCTGTTACGTTGGACAACAAAATTCATCATTTTCTTATAAATTGTAGAAATTGAATATTTTTATAGTACTTTTTATAAAATTCTATGACAAGATATAAATAGATTTTATAGAAAATCATTCAATCTTTTTTAATGAAATATAGTTAATACCTATAAGTCTTAAAATAAATATTTCTATTTTTTCTCACAAAGTAATGTGTGTTTTTAAAAAAAAATTCCAAAATCCCGGTCAAGATCAAAATTCACTGTCATTTCCCGATCCAGTGGCTACCCTGATGCTACATAAATGTGGAAAGGATTTATAAATATTAAATAATATACCATAATATAAATTCATGAAAGATCATAATATGTAACTATACACTCAATAAATGTTACTACATTCTCTGTGTATGTATAAACAATTTTTGGTTCTGATTTTATATATAAATGTAAAGAACATAGAATTCCAACGTAAAAAACTCTTGTTGGCCCTGAAAAGGGCCGATTGTTTGATGGAAGATAGGTAGAAAATTTAAGCTTTCTTTTCGGTTTTCTTGGGCAAGAGAACAGCTTGGATGTTGGGGAGAACACCACCCTGAGCGATGGTTACTCCAGAAAGAAGCTTGTTCAATTCCTCGTCATTCCTGATGGCAAGTTGGAGATGACGGGGGATGATTCTGCTCTTCTTGTTGTCACGAGCTGCGTTTCCGGCCAACTCCAAAACTTCAGCAGCCAAGTATTCCATTACTGCGGCTAGGTAAACTGGTGCACCAGCACCAACTCGCTCGGCGTAGTTTCCTTTGCGCAACAGACGATGGATACGACCGACTGGGAACTGGAGTCCGGCCCGGTTGGAGCGGGTCTTTGACTTTCCCTTGGTTTTGCCACCTTTGCCACGTCCTGACATTTTCAATTTAGTTTTGAATTAACGAAGTAAACACAACGAAGAATACAAAGCGAATGATGTTCTGCGGTTTACGGTTTACGGTTTAAAGCAGTATTTATTGTTCTTCAAGATAGTTTTGTACATAGTAATGTTACAATAAGTTTTTAAAGTAATGAGGTAACCATTTCTAGAAGAAGAAATATAATCCTATAAAATAATATTTTTGTAATAAAATAATATTTTTGTATAAAATAATATTTTTGTATGATGTTCTGCGCCAGAAATCCGCCTATTTACGCTCTCCCCACAGGTCACCCCCTCCACTGCGCTCCCCTCTCTTTTTCGTGAGTGGCAGATGGTTGCAGTGAGTGCCCGCACCAATCAAAATGTCGCAGGCGGACATAAATACGGTGCCGCCAGTGTGCAAAATATCAATTCACCTTGAATTGCCTTTGTGTTCAGACGTATTTTCTCTGAAAACAACCATGCCTCCTAAAGCAAGTGGCAAAGCTGTCAAGAAAGCCGGCAAGGCTCAAAAGAACATTACCAAGACCGACAAGAAGAAGAAGCGCAAGAGGAAGGAGAGCTATGCCATCTACATCTACAAAGTGTTGAAGCAAGTGCACCCCGACACTGGAGTCTCCAGCAAGGCCATGAGCATCATGAATTCGTTCGTGAACGACATCTTCGAGCGCATCGCTGCCGAATCTTCCCGCTTGGCCCACTACAACAAGAGGTCCACCATCACCTCCCGGGAAATCCAAACTGCTGTCAGGCTTCTCCTTCCTGGTGAACTCGCCAAGCACGCCGTCTCCGAAGGCACCAAGGCTGTCACCAAGTACACTAGCTCCAAGTAAATCTTGACCACCATTCTCAAAAAACAATCGGCCCTTTTCAGGGCCAACAAATATTTTTACGAAAGAATTATTTGGTTCCAAATGTGTTGCAGTATTAGGGCTACCTTTCTGATAAGCCACATGTTGAAATTGAAAATTTGATAGTATCCTATTTGAAAATCTTCTTTATATTATTGAAACAGTTTATGGATATATATATTTCTACTAACAGCTGAACGCGTTTTTACATTAGGTAAAATTTTAGTTTTAATATCAAGTGTTAAACTTTAAAAAAAATTATGTAATATTTACTAAGTTATATCAATTATTAAACTTTTGCAAATTTTAATATAATTTTACTAAATTTTATAAGTTTTTTTAAGTTTAGTATTTCTGATATTATATCAAAAAATACCTGTGTCACATTGTGTCCTACTCTTGTGATATACTTTTATAAAATATCATAGTAACTTTTTTCTGTATATAACTCAAGTTGTCATTGACGCTCAGCATTAAAATAGTTGTTTTCTTATTTTTAGTGATAACATATTTAAAAGTTTCACTTCTTTTATTCATTTAATAAGTCAAAGTCATAATCTTAGTCAAAGTCATAATCTAAGTCTTAGTCTTAACCAAAGTCTTAGTGTAGGTCAAAATCTGAATCATTCCTAAGTCAAGTCTTATTCAAAGTCTTAGTCTAACTCGAATCTTAGTCAAAGTCTTATTCTAAGTCTAAGTCGAAGTCTGAGTCTTAGTCTATGTCGAAGTCAAAGTCTTAGTCCTAGTCTAAGTCGTAGTTTTAGTCAAAGTCTAAGTGAAGTTTTAATCAATTCTTAATCAAATCTTAGTCAAGTCTTAGTCATGCCTATGTTATGTCTCAGAAATGAAACTAAACTTACCCACACTGAAAAAATGTTGAGTACCATGCAATCCCCATCGTCAGAAAGTGGAGGAACTCTAGTTTGGTTGTGCTACGATCTCAATTCGGAAAATCTATGTTCCTATGTCGGTGTCGCTGAACACTCAAGATTTGAGACTCAAAACCTTGAGACTGCAATAGCCGCATCTGGGCGCTCATCAGCACACCCAAGTTAGAAATGCAGCTCCTCCAAACTAAAGTCGTATCGCATTCGTAAATTTTCGGTCTACTTGGAACGGCTCGTCGCCCAAAACATTTTCCGTGCATAATTTATACATTTAATTTGCCCGGCATCGGTGATTCATACCTGATTTATTCACAGAGTCGAACACTCTGATTTTATGGGACAGGTTTTAAGAACGAGTAACTGTTTAATTGAAGTTATATTACTAAAGTTTTTATTTGAATCCTTTACAATTGGAATGATAGAGAAAGAGTAGATCCAAATGTCATGTCTTCAGGGATACTTAAACAAATACGGACTTTGTAGAATCAATCGAGAATTTAGATGGGGACTAATTTTAAAAGTATTAGTTACTTGTCTATAAAAATGATTACTAGAGACGTAGACCCAACGGGCGATACCTCCTTCAGTGTGAGATCGAAGAAGTAACGTTGTCTAACGTATACAGAGAAGGCAATAGATTTTCTTTGAAATGTTTTCGGGCCAGCCAAAGTGAAAGGTCCGGAGTCCAGGTGTCGAATTATTGATTTGACGTTGAAGTCGAAATAATGCAGTCATCGGAAAATTAGAAATGTGTCTTGCAGTAGAAATTATCTTGTTGAATGAACTTAACTTAGACGAGAGTTGAAGGAATACACTTGGTACTTGAAGAGATTTTTAGAACTGGAGACGAAGTATAAACTCGTTTTACACCATTATACTCCTTTTATACTATTCCTTTGCAAAGGGAATTGACGTCACACAAGGGATAGCAAAAATTTTACGAGCGTATACGCTCATTATGGTAATTGCATCCGCTAATTATCAATATTTTAAAATGGCTTCTTATAAGCATCTGTTTTTATAACTGGTATCAATATAATTGTTTATCTTTAGGTTATTTTAAATAAATAAAATTTTGACAAATCAGTACTAACTCATTAATGTAAAAAATTATTATTCTTATTCGACGCAAAATTAATATTTTACAAATAATAAACACACTTTTAAGAAAGGTTAAAAATAATAATCTTTAATAATTAAAATAAAACATTTTTTTATGTTCTTCTTTACTACAATGTTCAATGATGATGTTTTATGATTATTATAATAATTAATATTAATTATTAATGAAAATAATTTATAATAATAAAAATTATCAATTCAATTATTATTTTAAGAATTTTTATCTAAAATTCTTCTTTATAAATATCGATTATTTTTAATAATTT